TGTCAGCATAAATGCTTAGTGAGTTCCCCAAAATACCACATACAACACATACACCACTCAAGGCCACAGTACGACCCTCTGGTCAATGTGTCTCAGCGGGACCCTCCAGTCCCGTAGCTCGTTAGACCCTTTGGTCCGGTCTATATCGTTGGACCGTCCGGTCCGGTCCACACAATTCATAGCATACATATATCAAAACACATAATCTCAAACATACACATAGCACACAAGACCCTCCGGTCTACATATAAATACTATTCTAGGTAATGTATAGTGAGAAGACTCACCTTGGATATCTTGGATAATCTCGCACACATATACACTGATCTAGCCTCCATTTAAACACATAAACAATTATCTCAAATCAGTAACGGCTCTCCAGGCTAGACTAGTCTCTTCCTTGTCCTCTAAGAAGGCTTAAATACCATTTTACCCTTCAAATGGTCCACAAGTCCAATTGTTGACCAAACCCTAAAAGTCAACAGTCAAACTTTCACTAGACTCGTCGAGTGCACTCGTGTGACTTGGTGAGTCCATGCATGTCCTCTTCGCCCCCGTTCATCACTCGACTTGCTGAGTCAACCCTACACTCAACGGGTTGTCACAGTTCGCGAATTGTGGGGCAACCCGTCTTGATTCGGCGAGTCCCCTTATGGACTCGGCAAGTTCCTCCCATGAAAACACTCAAACGACCTTCTGAGGTCAGATCTGCTTTTCCAACTAGTAGATCTAACCTTCTAACACTTGAAAGTCACATAAAGGTTCAAACTTTACGTTCATGCAATGCTTATAAGACCAAATATGGAGAAATAACCTTTAAAATGGGGTTCTACTCTCAAGGCTCACATGAAACCTCATAAAGATGGAAGCTTGGGACCTTTTGAACCTCTCAAGGTCCAGATCTATCATCTACACCCAAAAGGACATCATATGCTTCACAATCTAACTCAAAATGGTGAAAAGGAAACCCTAGATTCAAGGAATCTATCAAGTACACGAAATGGGAAGGAACTTGTACCTCAAAACGTGAATCTCAGTGTGAACAACACACATCCAAGCTCCACAATCGATCTAGCTTGGATTTTCTCACTCCTTCTTGCAAGGTTACACCAAAGGATGAAGAATTAGCCTCCAAAATGCACTCTAAGCTCTCTTTGCTCTCTAGGGTTTTCTCATGGGAGTAGCGGCCGCAAATGACGGATATAGGGGCCTTTAAATAGGCCTCAGGCCCTGAGATTTAGGGTTTCACTTTACAGCACGGACTCGCCAAGTCCACACATCGACTCGTCGAGTCCAATCATTAATCCAGACAAGAATTCGCGATCCTACTCGGCGAGTGTGAGCGTCAACTCGCCAAGTCCCTCCACGAAACTCAAAATAAATAATTAAAATAAGATATCTGAGAATCTGGATGTTACATGTTGTAAGTTGTTATAACGATTGAATAAATGAATTATTGCGGAGCTAAATGATTAAATGGAAACAAAATTAAATCTATAGGGATTTTGTGTACGTCAACTATGAGACACAAAGGTATACCTTAAATGAAGTGTAGGGTCTCTGAACATAATGTTTCTTTATGTTAAGTTGTATGTATGATGTGTGTGTATTTGGTTAAGTCATAGCTTTTGAGATTGAGCAGGAGTTGCACTAATGATAGATATCAATTTGCACTAATGATAGATATCAATGAGAATTTAAGTGAAAGGGTTGGTAATCACATCTTACGAGGTGAGTAATCATATTCCTTTTTTATATGATTGATATCAAGTTATGTGGTGATTTTTGTTTTTATTATGGTGTTAGTGTAACATTGTATTTATAAATAAAATCACATGGTGAATGATTACAAATCCTTTTGGTATTAAGATTGTGTGTAGAATACACTTTGGTAGGTGTATTTTGAATATAAACTCTTCATATGATAATTTCTTAGAACTAGGATGGTGAAAGTTTAAGGGAAAGTAATTTTGAGTTTTTTATTCCAAGGGTGATTCGTATCGTATATTGTAAGACATCACTTATTTGGGGTATATATATATATATATATATATATATATATATATATATATATATATATATATATATATATATATATATATATATATATATATATATATATATATATATAGTGGTAAAAGGACAAGTATTATAAGGTAAAATAAGGCTTGTTCAATGGTGTACATAACCATGGTGAAAATGGTTAGACTTGTGGATGTTGTAAGGTGATATATATTTGATGAGAATACTTTGTAATTAAGTTGGTGTTAGTAATTCACATAACTAATGAAATTTCAATACGTAGTAATTTAATGCATCTAAATGTGGATGGGGTATATCTAAAGAGGTGTATTATACCATATGGTTTTTGTGGTATTATTTATGAAATAGGTGTAAAGGGGATTGAACATCTCTCGGGTGTAATATGTTTTACAATATAGTACATAAAATCCATCTGGTGACATTAATTGGTGAAAATATTTTTGCCAAATAAAGAGTCATCCTGTGACTAACGTTGTTATAATGGTGAGCCTTATAATGGGTGTATTAAGGCAAGATTCTTCAGTGTATGAATATCATTGGTGTTAACTAAGATTAATATTGGACTGGATATAAATCGTACGTTATTGAAGTTATTTAATTGATATTAGATTAATAAATGGTTGTCTTTGACGAATTATAGCTTAATATACCGAGGAGTCTAAATCTAGCCAATGTTAAATAGACGTAAATATCATATTGAAAGTTTGGAGATTGTAATGAATGATACGGGTAAATAGGTTATGAGTTAAGAATATGAGGGATGATGAAGCTATATGTTGTTGAAGGATGTATGTAAAACCTTTTGATAAATATATAGGTATATTATAAAATGTATTAACTTTGGATGATGTATATCTAAAGGGCTTATTTATATCGTTGAAACATATATTAGTAAGTCTCATATGGTGTAATGAGACAATACCTGTTTGGTGTAACATCCAATGCAAGTGACAATAGATATTTATTCGGTGATTATGAGTATTATATTTAATACTAGTTTATAATTAATGAAAAACTACGGTTATAAAATTAATTAAATTTTTATATTAAAAATCAAAATTATTAATGAATTATTTAAATAAAATTATTAATTAACATATATTTTTTTAGTTATATAAAGCTATAATAGTTAATTTAAATAAATACGTGAAGTTATATCATATTATAATCTGTACTAATTTTATTTTATTTTTTAATCTAATGTTATTAATTCAATATAATTAAATTGAAAAAATTTGAAATTTGAAATTTAAAATTTAATGTAATTATAGTGGGAAATTTAAATTTTAAATTTTAAAATGGATAATTAATATGTTGACAAGTGGCATGATAAAGGACATATAACTTTAATGAGAATTTCTAATATAATACCACTTGTCAATAGGGTATTAAACCTATTCTTTTATTAGGATAGGGAGATAGGTGGAAATGGATATTTATTTTGTGATTTATAAATAGCAATGCCAAATGCATGTAGTTGTGGGTATCCATGTGGCATATGTGTGATATATATAATACTAGTTTATAACCCGTCGGAACCACGGTTATAAAATTAATTAAATTTTTATAGTAAAAAATTCAAAATTATTAATCAATTATTTTAAATAAATTATTAATTAAGAGACGTTTTTATTAGTTATATGAAATTATAATCGGTGATTCAAATAAATATGTAAAATTAATTTTTAATATATATTAGATGTTTTTTATTTATGAATTAATGAAAACAATAATATAAATTTAAATTTTAAAATTTAAAATAGAGAATAAATACATTGATAAATACCATCACATTAATGATGATGTCTAATAAATTTAAAATTGAGAACTAATAGATTGACAAGTGGTAACACATTAATTAAGAAGTCTAATATGATGATACATGGCAAAAAAAACTACTTTTTTATTAGTATAGAGATTCACTTCTTGCATCCATGTGTGTTGTAATTTGAGTGCCTAGTGATAGTTGAGTATATTAACTATAGGGTATAGAGTATTTTCGGTAGCAACACCCTATGGCTATAGCAGTGTAGTTGAATAAGCGGATTTGGCGAGTTGGGACATAATACATGTTGTGTAAACCAATTACATCCAAGAATGTATTGGTGCAATTAGTGGAAATTTATAATTACTATGTTTTTGAGATTGTAGGTGTGTGATCTGTAGATTATTCACTATGCTATATGTACCTTACTTTTTAGTTGTTGTGATCTCTTTTAGATTTTAGTAGATTCGTATATGGTGCATAGTCATAATGAAAAAAGGTAACACCCTACTCAGATCTCTATTGTAAATTATTGTATTTTATCCTTGATAATAACTATTTGTATGTTACTGTTTAGCATAAGGGTACACTATGTTCTCTTTAAAAGTTGAAACTTTTTTTGGTGTATTGTTAAAAATTCAGGTGTTGTAGAATGTAAAACTCATTTTGAAACATTTGAAAAAAATAGTCAAATATGAAAATGAAGAAGTCAATGAATAATAAACACAATATATGGATTGACATTTAACAAAAAAGGGGTTATTGACATGAAATCACAATAAAGTTTTTTTTGTGGTTTCAAAATTTCACTAAAATAAATTTCGTATCTCTGACCCCATTAAAGTGGAAAATTGCTTGCTAAAAGAAGGAATTTGTCGACTTATAACCGGTTTTAAGGTCTGTCATCAAAAGTCGTCAATGACGTGTTTGCTTGACTCCAGTTGTGTGTCTAGTCATCTTGGTACATAATCTTGCTATTGGTTGAATACATCAACCCTCACAGGTTTCTTTCCCTCTAACAAACATGAAGCCTTCAACAATGTCTTCCTCGTCTGAATCACATAACACCGTTGCTATTTATCGTTTTCATGAGAATCCTCATTGCTTAAGTCACAATAAAGTGGTGTCGAAGCCAATAGAAGCTTGGAAGCCAAATAACCCAACTCACTGATTCTACAACTATGCGAAAGCGATGGTAAGCTACTCTTTGTTTGTTGTTTATTTGTGAAAACATTTGACCCAAAAAGTTATTATTTTTGTACAAAAAAACCCCATTTGAGAAAACCCGGTTTTTTTAACAGAAACCCTTATTATGGGGTTTCTTGTTTATTTTGTTAAGGGTAACAAGGTTATGATGTTCAATTTTGTGTTTATATATTCATAAAAGTGATAGATTGATCATTACATTTAGTTTGCAACCTCATTTACCTAAAAAAACCCTAATATGTGTTTATGTTTTAGGTATCAAAAGACAACTGCAACTTCTCTAAGTGGATAGACCCACCTCTAACAAAGCACTATAAGGATACCATGTGGAATACGAAACTAAGAGTTGATGACTTATTGACTAGGAATGCTCAAGTGACTGTGCTGCAGAAGAAGGTGGAGAAGCACAAATATCTTAGAATAGCTAAGAGGGAATCGATTGATGCTCGGATCCCAGAATTGTTTATTGAAATTGAAACTCTTAAGAAAATGGTGAAAAAGATTTTGTTGATTGGTTTGGTCTTTCTTCTAGTTATGGTGTTGTATTTTAAGTTGTTTTAGGTTTTGCATGAAATAGGTGATGGTGATTTTTGGTATTTCCTAGCACACTGATGGTCATATTTTAGTGATTTGATTTGAAAACTAAGTTTTATACTCATGCAACTTGCCCATAGCCTGAAAGTATAAGCACTTTTACAATACAATACTCGAAGCTTTTTATCGTCATTCTTTTCGAACCATAATAGATATACATTCTTAACAACATAATTACATAGCATGCTCTTAAGCTGTTTAGGGTTCTCAATTCTTATGCCTAGAATTGGTACTTGCTTCTTCCAGTGTACATGAGGGATATGATGTTACTTAACAACTTCATTCTCTAACTCCTCACTAGTATCCATATGTTCACTCTCCTTATTGATTTCATCTTCCAAAGCAACATAAAACATATGGGCTGGTTTAGGATCAAGGGTTCCTTGTGAAGGTTCTTCATCATCCCCCTGGATTTGTCTAACCAGTCCTCAAATCCGTCACCAATATGAACTAAATATAGGTATACTTGCTTTTTTGGGGCTTGATAAGTTGTATCCTTCAAAATAGCATAGTCGAAATCGTTTGCTATTACCCTAAGTCCGTTTTCCAAAATTTCATTACGTACTAAGTAGTAAAGTTTCTCAAAAGGTTCTCCGTTAAACCTTTCTAGAAAAGTGGAACACCCCTCATGATTCATTCTAGCAAAATCATGGTCTATAAACATGAACGTCTCACCTCCAGTATATCCATGTGAGTATCTTGTAAATACACCATTAAAGTGTAAATGCACTTTCAAGTAAATTGCACCAGAGTTTTTGTTATCTATGCACTTCACCTCTATAAAAAAAAATCAAACTTCAAAAGAACACAAGATGAGAGGAAACTTACTTGAGCTGAGTGAGAAAACCCTAGATACATCTGCTCTTCAAACGATTTTTGAAAACGACTATGTAGAAATGCAAATGTAAATGAAAGTTTTCTCGAACAATTGTTTTTAACCAAACTCCACGTGTTATTGCTTATATGTCATTTAACAGAATAAATCGAAGGTCAAAGTCCGTGTGACAGTTAATTATCGGGTGACTGTTTCGTTTTTTTCAAAAGGGTGTAAATGACACGTAATTATCCATTTTAATGAGGTTAGAGGTACAAAATTTATTTTAAGGGCTTTTAAAACCAATGAAAAACTTTATCGTATTTTTATGTGAATAATAGTGGAAAATTACAAAAAGAACAAAAAAAACTTTTAAGTATTTTCTAACATAAAATATTTGTTTTAAGAAATAAAAAGCACAAAAAATTATTATCGTCATCAAATTGAAAAATCGCATCAACATCGAATCATAACATGCAATTTTCCATTTTAATGAGGTTAGAGATACAAAATTTATTTTAAGGGCCTTTGAAAACCAATGAAAAACTTTATCGTACTTTAATGTCAATAACAGCGAAAAATTACAAAAAGAACAAAAAAAAAAAACTTTTAACTTTTTTCTAACATAAAATATTTGTTTTAAAATTAAAAAGCACACAAAATTATTATCGTCATCAAATTAAAAAAATGTTAACATAGTGACTTTAATGAAAAAAAAAATCGCATCAGCACCGTATCATGCCAAATTATGGACCTGTAGAATTTTTTTTGTAAAGTCAAGGTGATTTTATAAAAATAAATATAATTTTATAATATAATGAATGTTTTATAATATAACAAAATAGAATTAGGATTTTGTAATATATGTTCCAAAAAATATTTTAGTTATCTTTTATATTTACCTTAAAGAAAAAGAAGTCTGTGTCTAACAAGTCAAAACTAAGAATAGGTTGATGAAATAAAATAAAAAATAAATAGAATTCGGTTTTAAAATCTTCAAATGGTTTCAGGCAAATTGCAATCATGTGTTTTTATTTTTTTATGAGTATACAATACACCAATTTGCTTCCGCATTTTCAATTATCCGCGAAAAGAATATTGAAGTTTTGGTCAAATAAGGGAAAAGGTCAAAATAAAATTGTTAATATTATCTCTTCAAGTAGTTGCACTATCAGTTGGGTTTACATCCGTCCTCCAAACCTTACAATTCTAATCTTTCTACAAGTTGTGCAAAATATCTTTGGTAAAATCATTATTTTTAAGTCGTAGTAAGGTGAAGTTTATAATCATTACCTTGTAACATTTTCAAATTCTGGTCAACTTAAAATAAAAATAACGAAAACGAAGCTTTTATTTTAGAGAAAATGAATATACTAGTTATTTCATAAAAGTTTTTACTAATTAAAATAGTCATAATTTTTCTTAATGACCATTTGCTGAAATTTCAGCCATCTTAAATTTTTTTTTTCCACAACTATGGTGTTTTGTGGGGTTGACTCCGAAAATCCACGTAGAATTTCACATTTGTGGTTGACGAAAATCAAATTTTTATCTAATTTTAAAATTTCATAAGTCTTTTATATAAAATCTGTTTGGATGACTTTTTTCATTATCATATATTAATTAATAGCTATACATGCATATATAAAATTTCAAATTTGATTGACAGGAATACATATTTTTTTAGGTTAAAAGTTGGTTCTTCAGTGAAAATATAAAAAACACAAAACTAAGAACATTCATAATTCTTTCCTACGAAATCCATTTGATGTAACAAGGAATATCCATTGAGGTGTCACACTCCACATTTGAAGGTTATAAAGTCATATTTCATATTTTGTAAGCTCGTAAGTCTTTTTGAAAAAAAAACTTTTAAGCTTTTAAAAGCAAAGCCAAACACCTCTTAGATTTTATTTTATTTTATTTATTTATTTTTTATTTTTTATTTTTTCAAACATCTAACGGATTGATGAAGATCTTCCCCATTCAGCTAATAGTTTTTCACTATTTATGTTTTAATGTTTTAAGCCCGGAAATATCAACCTATAGAAGGTGGTAGGATACTCTCGCATGTAATAGTACATTTTAACGGACATTTTGTTTATTGATGTATACAACACCATTCTTTTGGCATGTAAACTTACAATGAGTTTTTATAGTTGTTTAGTAGAGTAATGATATTAGATTTAGAAAGTTGTAAATTTATCCAAATACATTAATTATTTTGTAGAAAATAGCCAAAAATCAAAATTACAAATATAACCGCTAAAATCACAGATGAGAATAAGTCATCTGCAATTTCACTATGCTATCTGTGAACATACAAATAGCTAAAGAACAAACTTGTTTTAACCACTTGTACGTTCGTAGGTTTTTTTTTTTTTTTTTTTTTTTTTTTTTTTTTTTTTTTTAATTTGGCTGTATATATATGTCATATTTCACCCTAAACTCGCAGATGGATTATGTTCATCTGTGATTTTCTTTGAGTATCATCTACGATTTTTTGTTTTTTTTGTTTTGTTTTGTTTTTTTGTTTTTTGTTTTTTGTTTTTTTTTGTTTTGTTTTTTACTACGAAATTGATAGAGTTTAACTATGAAATTAATATGGTTTGATTATGAAACAACTTTATTATATATAATTTTTTTCATGAAATTATCATTTTTTGTTATTTCTTTGGAAAATTTGTTGAAAACCTCTCTAAAAAATATATGAATATTTGGTTCGCGTTGTAACTGGTGGGAGATGGAAAGTTTTTGTAACAAGCCTGAATACGTATGTCCCTATCAATTTCCTAGTCAATTTTTTTTTTAAAAAAAAAGAAGGACAGAAAATCGCAGATGATACTCAGAGGAAATCGCAGATGGACATAGTCCATCTGTGATTTTAAGGTGGAATATGAAATATATATACAAAGAAAAAAAACCTATGAATGTACAAGTAGTTAAAGCACGTATGTGCTTTAGCCACTTATACGTTCGCAGATGGCATAGGTGGCTTATTCGCATCTGCGATTTTGATTGCTATATTCACAATTTTGGGTTTTTTTTTTATTTTTTATTTTTTTATTTTTTTATTTTTTTTTTCCAAAAAGTAGTTAGTGTATTCGGTTATATTTATAATTTTCTCTATTAGAAAAGTAATCTTTATTTAATTTATGTTTATAATATAAAGCAATTAACTCCATATAATATCAAAAATAACATATGCATGCATACTAGTAATCATAATCTCTAACATTAGTGATCTTAACCAGCGAATAATGTAACACTTGGATCCCGAGGTAATTCGAATTACTAATTTTTTTTTCCAGCCTTTTAAGGTTACTATGGCGTGGGTGAGGCACCACGACGTGGGGCTTCAAGAAAAACTGTGAGCTCATTTTGGACACCACGGTGTGGTAGTATGTGGTCACGGTGTGGAAGCTGACAAATGATAAAACCTTATTTATGAGTTTTACTCCCTATTTAAAGGAATGAGGAGGATAGGGTTCGCTCACCCTCAACCTCTATCAGCCTCTTTGAAATTTTGAAAACCCTAATCCCCTCATCCTTTGTTTAAACCTTGTTTTGGTGCTCTTTGAATCCATTAAAGGAAGAAAGAAGAAGAAGTGAGCTTAGAATCTGCAAGCAAGCCATAATCCTTTTTTGTAGCAATCTTCTTGACTTTTGTAAGTGTCCAAGACTCGATTTTTATCATGATAAGTGGTTAGATATTGAGTTTTATCCCTAAATCTTCATGTACTTGATTATTGGATAGTGAGATTTCATAAAGTTTGCAACTTTATGAATCTCCAGGCCATTTAGGGCCTTTGATACTTTGGATATGGATTTATATTGAGTTTTAGTATCATGCATGGAAGTTTTGGTCAAAACCCTCATTTTGACCTAATAAGAGTCTAAGACATGCATGTCTAGAAAGTAATGGGTTTCATATTGTTATATGATGCTTGAAACATGTCTGGAAATAGGGATCTAGTAGTCATTAAGAGAAAGCGCTTAATGAGTTAAGCCAAGTTATGTTTTTCCCAATTTAATCTTAGAAGTGAGATACCTATTTCTTGGAGGGTCTAAAGGGATAAAGTTGGAAACTTTATCCACTTGGACCTTATAACGGACCATATTTGAGCTTTGAAGCCCTTAGGATCAAAGAAAT